GGGGGGCCACTTCAGCTGGTTGGCGTTCGCGTTTCTTGATAGCTGCTCGCGTCCTAGCTGGGTAGAGGCGTAGTGAATACGCGACCCCCATCCTCGAGGCCCCCTTGGACATGGCTCCGTGGTGTAGTGGCTCCCCAGATACACATAGTGAGGAGGAACTCCATATGGTAGAGGAAGACCTTCTGCTGGTTCCAACCCAAAGGCTTGACGGGAAAGTCCCAGCCTTTGGGCCCCCCCCCCCCCCCAGAGCCATAATAAGAGTGGGTCCAACCTATGTCGTGCAGGGTGGCGATGACCGCGGACAGGTGGGACCTAACCATGAGCCACCTGGAGGGTTTCTTGAGCTTGGCCTGCAGGGCCCCCCAGGGCTTCTGGATGCCTCTGGGGAGCGTGAGCTCTGCGTTGATGATCTGAAACCACATCGCGAAGAGCTGGACCCTGAGGTAGATCCCTCGGTCGATGTCGGATGGGTGCCCTGTCTGGGTGCGGAGGCCTGTCGTAAGCCAGGCCCCCTCCTTTGAAACTCCCAGTGCCGCGCCAGTAAGCCGACGTGAATGCTGAACTTCTGTCGGCGCCGCGCCGTGTCCTTCCATCCCCCATTACAGCTGCGGGAGTACGTCTGTGCGGAAAAGAGACCGTGCCTTAGTTGTGGCATTGGCCAGGCGCGTGATGTTCTTGTGCCTCTGAATGCCGAGCGAGCGAAGTTGCCTTCGGACCCGAAGGGCCCTTCTTTTCCCGATGGCGGCGTCCACCCCGAGATCCCGAGCTTTTTGGACAGGTCGAACCGCGATGCTGTGCTGGCTGAGGGTTTCGACGCCCGAGGCGCGGATCTCGTTCGAGCTGGCCAAGACTACTGACTTGTCTGACAGGCGGCATCCTAGCCCAGCGAGTCCCCCGCATAGATGGCGCATGCGTGCTGGAAAGGCATTTTTAAGGTTTTTCCGGGCTTCCCACGAGACGAACTCTGACATCGTCAACCCTAGTTCTGACAGTGGGCCGTGGGATCCGACGGCGGGCGAGGTCGAGTACGTCATATAAAAAGACCCTGGTCCAAGACACGCTCTGTCCGCATCCCTGGAGAATGGAGGCCAGGTGGGTGAGGGGCTCGCTGACTCCGACCGGCGTTGTCAGGACCCTTGTGCACGTGTGAATCATCATGCCTAGCGCCAAGGGAACCACGGGGTAGCCTAGCGCAATGACCTTGTCGGCCAACTTGTGCTGGAGGATTGTGTCGAACAACTTTCCGAGTTCCAGCACTCCCTCGACGATGGAACACTTGAGAGCGTCGCTGATCTCTGCAAACAGCTCGCTGATGAGTGCTGCTCTTAAGCAATCATTGCCGCGGATGGCTGCGTCCCAGAAATTTGCCCGTGCATCCCCCCAAGAAGAGATCTGTCCCTTGAATAAACGCATGGTGATTCGGTTGGGGGCGTCGGCAAGGGCGATGGGCCGATCGATACTTTCCGTCTTGGGCTTCGACGCCACAAGGTGGATCAGGCATTGGGCGGGATATTGCTGCAACCTGCAGATATCATTGATGATGCCTGTGAGGATCTCCAATCCTTCAGGCGGGGGCCGACGGAAACCTGCCACTCTCCATTGGTCTGCTCCTGGGGATGACCTGTGCCGAGAAACTTCGGAGAGCCGTCTGGACATGTTCTGGATTCCAGTTCTGAGATGAGCCCCACGAGTCGATAGCTTGCTGGCGTAGATCTTGGAGCCACTGGGCCTCTGGGGGCTCGTTGGGGCGGAGCTTCTCTGGGCCCCAGACTGCAGCCAAAACTCGCTTTTGCGGTTGAGAACCAGGGGGGGGGGGGGGGGGGGGGGGGGGGGGGTCTGTGATAAGCTCCCCGTCGACCGAGCAAAAATACGTCATTGTCCTCCTCGGGGGCGGGCCCAGGGACTTTGGTGATGCGATGGGCGCCGCCTCCCCCATGAGCGAGAGAATCATGTAGCCCACAGCAAGGCCTCCTCGTCGAAGTGCTGAACGATCAGCTCGAGCTGAAAGCGCGCATCGGGTGCCTGATCTTCTGGCCCCGATCCTGCAAGGCAGGATTGTACAAGCGCCTGGGCGGCTGGCAGATGGCCTGGTGGCCAGACAGTGTTGCTCTGCAGGACGGGCGCGAGGTACCCTTGGAGCCCCAGGGTCTCTCTGGAGCCTGGGTGAGCTCGGAGGAGATGGTCCCGTTCCTGAGCTCTCTGTTGGACGACCCCCCACTGATGGCTTTGGTGGTGGAGCCTCTGCTGGAAGGGGGTGAGGGGCTGGATGTCTCTCCAGATGACTTCGAACCCGCCCCCGCGGCTGTAGTCGCCCTGGGATCCTGCTGGGGCCCGGGGGCGCCAACCTTCGAGGGCCCGACTGAGGGGGCTGCACTGGCGGGCGAGGGAGGTGTTGGCGAACCCTTCGGCAATCGGGTACTGGACCTGAGGCGACTCGTGCTGGTCTAGCTGCGCCTGGTGCCAGTAGTGCGCCCACGGGCTAGCAGGCGCTGCGAGATTCTTGATAGACTGACATTGTCGAGGGAACCATTCCTGACGACTCAGTGTTGCAACGCGAAAAACTGCGCGCAATCCTATGCGCGGCTTCCACGGGCTCGTGAGATCGGTCGCGACCGAGAAGAAAGCTGAGACATCTGTGCACGATGTAGTAGTCGATGAGACGGCCATGCCTACGCGATGTCTCAATGTTGGCTGGTTCGATGACCCCTGCGATTTTCTTGACCCAGGGAAGCCTCGCCAGCAGTTCCTGAGGGACTATGTTGACATCTCCCGAGATGATGAACGGAAGGCCCAGGGACGTGAGGAAACCGATATTTCCTTCACAATCTTGATATTGAAAGCGTTGTAGCCGACCCCCGACTGGAGGTAGACCGTGAGCAAGACTATGTTGCGGGATTTCGTACGGAGCATACAAGCAGACCAGTTGGTTCCCCCCGCCAGCGGTTTCGTGTTCCCCTTCCCCATCGTGACCCGCGAGTGTGTGTGTGTGTGTGAAATTGCCGAGTGACAAATATGCCTAGGCCTCCGGATGTTCCGCCGTCTGATGTGGCGGTAGCTGGACATTGGTAACTCTTGTAGCCAAGTTTCCCCATGAATTTTTGTGTTTCTCCCAACCTTCCCGAAACCAGGTGCGTCTCCCTTAGCATGATGTTCTGAGGAAGGCCAAAGTCAGAAGATTATAGATAATCCTTGGCCTTGCGATTCCAGTTCGTGATATTGGCCTGATAAGAGTGAAACTCTGTCAAGGGCTCGGGGGGAGCCCGCCTGTGAGGCTGTGAGTCCGCCTCACCTCTGCAGCGTGGCTCCCCCCCGCCCCCTGGGACAGCTGCGGCCGCGCCTCTCCGCACCTGGTCGGGCCCCTGCTGTTGGACCTCCAGCTGGATCAACTCCGTGTCGCCCGCGTGGTGGGGCTGCTGCTGATGTGGCCGCCGCCTTCTTGGGCTTGTCCTTTTTGACCTTGAGCGTCTGTGATGGCGGTAGCTTGGCGGAGGCGGAGGTGAGCTTGGCTATGCAATATTTGGCCTCAGTCCCGTTGTTGCCGTCGAGCCCGTCGAGGTGGCGCTTCAAATTCTCTGGGATCTGCGGCATGGCGGGGAGCTCGATCTCTTCCTCGTCACTTGCTTCATCTTCTTCCATGGCGTCATGTACCCTCCTCCTCCTCCTCTTCCTCCTCCTGCCCCTGCTCCTGCTCCTGCTCCTCCTCCTCCTCCTCCTCCCTCCTCCTCATGTTTCCTACCTCCTCCCACTCCTCCCCTTTTCCTCCCCCCCCTCATCCTCCCCCTCCTCCTCCTTTTCCTCCTCCTCCTCCTCCTCCTCCTCCCTCCTCCGCCTCCTCCTCCTCCTCCTCCTCCTCCTCCTCCTCCTCCTCTCCTCCTCCTCTTCCTGCTCCTCTCCTCTTCCTCCTTGTCCTCGTCCACCTCCTCCTCCTCCTCCTTTCCCCTCCTCCTCCTCCTCCTCCTCGTTCCTCCTCCCCTCCTTCTCCCCTCTCCTCCTCCGTCCTTCCTCACTCTCCCGCCTCCTCCTCCTCCTCTCCTCCTCCTCCTCCTCCCCTCCCCTCCTCCTCTTCCTCCTCATCCTCTCCTCTTCCTCCTCCTCCTCTCCTCGTCCACCTCCCTCCTCCTCCTCCTCCTCCTCCCTCCTCCTCCTCCTCCTCCTCCTACTCCTCCTCCACCCTTCCTCCTCTCTCCTCCTCCTCCTCCTCCTCCCTCCTCCTCCTCCTCCTCCACCTCCTCCTCCTCCTCCTCCTCCTCCTCCTCCTCCTCCTCCTCCTCCTCCTCCTCCCCTCCCCACCTCCCCCTCCTCCTCCTCCTCCCCTCCCCTCCTCCTCCCCCTCCTCCTCCTCCTTCTCCTCTCCTCCTCCTCATCCTCCTCCTCCTCCTCCTCCTCCTCCCTCCTCCTCTCTCTCTCCTCCTCCTCCTCCTCCTCCTCCTCCTCCTCCTCCTCCCTCCTCCTCCTCCTCCTCCTCCTCCTCCCTCCTCCTCTCATTGCTTTGAAGTCATGAGATTGGTGTTTTGGCACACTTCAGGATTTTCACACGGTTGTCCCCCAACTGGGTATTTCTTTGAGTGGCAATTAGTTTCTGTAGGGTTTATACAGAGGGAGCTTGGCGAGAGGGGGCATTCCAATATTGTTGATGAGTCTTGGATTTACATTGGCTATCTTTTTCTTCTTCCTCCTATTCCTCCTATTCTTCCTTCTCCTCCTCCTCATCCTCCTCCGGGCCCGTGACTCGCCGTGCGGTAACACGCAACACCAAGCTCGATAAGGTCTGATTGAGTCCTTGTTGAATGCGATGGACCATCGCTCGGGGCTGCCCCGCCGACGGGCCATCGCCGACGCCGTCGCCGCCGTCGTCGTCATCGTCGCCGCTGTCGTTGTCGTCGTCGGCGTCGGCGTCGTCGTCGTCGTCGCTCGGGTGGCCCCGCTGCTCGGGTGCCCCGCCGCCGCGCGGAGTGCCCCCGAGCCCGGCCGCCCTTGGAGCCGCCGCGCGCCGCACGCAGGCGCACCTGCCGTACGGCCAGTTCCCGCCGCATGCAGGCACCGATCGCGGAGGGCTTGGCAGGGCTCGTTTCGATTCCTCCGATTAGATTCGCTTTCGGATTTCGATGTGCATTCCGATCTCTCACTTAGGTCCCACTGCTCTGCCGATTTCCGCCGAATCGACTCCTCACAACTTGGCAGCCGATTTCCGCCGATCCGATTCGTTTCGATCCCAAAGTTGGGCGGGTGGTTACCCAGACCTCCTCGAGTCATGAAAAAATCCCGACGGTTTTTTTTGTGTTCTATGTTCGTTTTCCAGGGGCATTTTCCCGGGCCTCGGGACCGTCAAAAAACTACCCAGGATGAAAAGCCGTCCCCGGAGAGAGGGTCGGGATTTCCTGGCACCGCGCACTGGCAAAAACCAACTGGCCAGTTCCCGCCGCATGCAGCCGCCGATCTCGGAGGGCTTCGGAGCTCCCCCAGGCGGGTGGCAATTCGAAGAAAGTAAAGGTACCGCTGCCCCTCGCCCGTGTTCCCCGTTTTGGGGTTTCCTGGGAGGCCCTCGTCGCCACCGTTGGATTCGCCTGGAAACCCTGCTCAGAGCGCGCCCCGGGAGAGGTCCGGGCAGCAGCCTGCTGGTATCCCCAGTCAAGGGCGGCGACCGAGATCGGGGAGCCCGGCACGTCACCCCTCGCCCGCGGCTTCTCGGGGGCAGCGCCAGTGCGCGGGCGGGCTCGGGCGCACCGACCCCAAACCTCGAGGAAGCGCCAACATGGATCGGGCGGGTGGCAGTGGGGGGGGTGACCGACATGGGGGGGGTGAAGGAAAGCGCCGTGACGGTCCCTTTTGGTGCCCCTTCGGAAGGGGCCGCCAGGGGTTCTGACCAGAATTTCGAAGCAAATCCAGCGGTGGCACCGAGGGCCTCGCACGAGGTCCTGCCAGGAGACCCACAGAGGCAAACACGAGGCGAGGGTAGCGGTATGGGTAGCCTTTCCCCCTTGGTGATTCCCCCCCCCCCTGGCGCGCCCTTGCCCCCCCCCCCCCTTCTCGCGGCGCCGCCGCGAGGCGTGCTGCCGCAGGGCATGTACCCGCCGGGGCCAGGCCCCCCAGGCAAGTGGCGGGGGGGGGAGCTGGGCAGCCGTAGGAGGGAGGGACAGCAGGAGGAGGAGGAGGAGGAGGACGGTGGAGGAGGGTGGAGGAGGGTGGAGGAGGGTGGAGGAGGGAGGAGGAGGAGGAGGAGGAGGAGGAGGAGGAGGAGGAGAGGAGGAGGAGAGGAGGAGGAGAGAGGGAGGGAGGGAGGGAGGGAGGGAGGGAGGGAGAGGAGGAGGGGGGAGGAGGGAGGAGGGGGAGGAGGAGGAGGAGGACGAAGAGGTTGAAGAGGAAAGGAGGTTCAGGCTGATGCGGTACTTTTCGAAGTTCGAAGGCAACCCGCTGCATCTGCTTGCCAGAGTCACCTGGCAAGCAGCATGGGATCTGTCAGCGGACAGCCTCTGCTGCTCTGAGTATCCGACTGGCGCAGTGGCCACAAGATGTTTCTTTGTTTTCCAATGCCTCGAACAGTACAGCTCTTCAGGCGCGAGCTGATTCTTTCGACGAAGAAAGAAGAAGAAGAAGAAAAAGAAGAAGAAGAAAAAGAAGAAGAAGCACCGGCATGAACGTTCGGAGCTCTGCGAGGATTTCTTGGATCTGCGCTGGGCCGCCTGGCGGCGCCTGCGGCACCGCCCCAGGCATGCTTCGTCCAACACCGATCCAAGAAATCCGCGCGGATCTGATATGGAAATCCTGACGCTTCGCAGGCCCCCGCCAGGCCATCCAGAGACGGTTCCCCGGCGAGTTGTCGTGAGAAAGGTGATGAGGTAGCTCCAGTGAATCCGAAAGGGGGCGCTAGTCGAACTGGATATTGTCGAAGACCTAAAGGTCTAGATCACCAAGACCAGAATTGACGGGCTGCCTCTGCCGAGGGGAGAGGATGCCGAGCTCGGAAATGGAAGTAAAAGTCTGGTTTCTTAGGTTGCCGAGATTATCACGAGCACCAATATATAAAATCATCTTCCCCCGGTGGAGGAGGTCCCGCGCTGCTGTGTTGAAGGTGTTCGGTCTTGAGGAGGATGGGTTCCCAGATGTCTCCGCCCTGGGCGCGAGCCGCCTCGAGCGTGACGCGGACGCCGAAGATTTATAGTAGGCCTCCGACTTGGGGGCCTCCGATTCTGGCCCTGACCAGGCCTTCTGATCTGCCTTTTGGCCGCCGCCTCCTCTCATCTCATCCCCTGGGGGAGGTACCTCCCTTGGTCGGTGCTGGTGCCAATGTACTGGCCTCCAATCTTGGGCCAGCCTGGGCAGCCCTGTAAGAAATTGCCCGTTGGGGGTTCACCGCTGGGGCCTTGCTGGAGGCGCCCCGAGCGGCTGGGGGTCTGAGGTCAGCACCGGCTCCGGGCAGCGGTGTAAAGGAGGGCAGCCGGAGGAGAGAGGGGCAGCAGGAGGAGGAGGAGGAGGAGAGGAGGAGGAGGAGGCGGAGGAGGAGGAGGAGGAGGGGAGGAGGAGGAGGAGGGGAGGAGGAGAGGAGGAGGAGGAGGAGGAGGAGGAGGAGGAGGAGGAGGAGGGAGGAGGAGGAGGAGGAGGAGAGGAGGAGGAGGAGGAGGAGGAGGAGGAGGAGGAGGAGGAGGAGGAGGAGGAGGAGGAGGAGGAGGAGGAGGAGGAGGAGGAGGAGGGAGGAGGAGGAGGAGCGAGGAGGAGGAGGAGGAGGAGGAGGAGGAGGAGGAGGGAGGGAGGGAGGGAGGGAGGAGGAGGGAGGGAGGAGGTGAGGGAGGGAGGAGGGGAGGGAGGAGGGAGGGAGGGAGGGAGGGAGGGAGGGAGGGATGGAGGGAGGGTGGGGGGAGGGGGGAGGGAGGGAGGAGGGAGGGAGGAGGAGGGAGGGGTGGAGGGAGGGAGGGAGGGAGGGAGGGAGGGAGGGAGGGAGGGAGGGAGGCGAGGGAGGGAGGGAGGGAGGGAGGGAGGGAGGGAGAGGGAGGGAGGAGGGAGGGAGGGAGGGAGGAGGGGGGGGAGGGAGGAGGGAGGGAGGAGGAGGAGGAGGAGAGGAGGAGGAGGGAGGGATGAGGAGGGGGAGGAGGAGGAGAAGGAGGAGGAGGAGGAGGAGATGAAGGGAGACTCGAGATCGTCGGTTCGGGAGGGTTGCTTGCCTTCTTCGGCCTCCGCGGGGGCCGTGTTCGGGCCTCAGGGCCGTCGGAGTCGGATCTGGGTGCAGAGCTGCACAAAAAGATGAACCCTAGGAAGGATCCGGGAACCGATTCCGAACGAGGTTGGGCACATTCTCCTCCTCCTCCTCCTCCTCCTCCTCCTCCTCCTCCTCCTCCTCCTTCTCTTCCTCCTCCTCCTCCTCCTCCTCCTCCTCCTCCTCCTCCTGGCCGTGCGTTACTATGCGGGGGAGCTGGTGACCAATCAAGGGAATTTATCACCAACGACCGCGGTGCGTCTGCGATCCCACCTCGGCTTTCCTAACCTCCTACAGGCAGTAGCAGCCACTCCGAGTACAGGCACCCTTTGTACTCCACAGGTTATTGCCCCTCTACGAGGCCCGCACGGAGCCCCGAGGCACAGGGAGTTATCGTGCTCGCGACTACGACGGGAAGAACGTCAGGGGGACCACGCAGGGTCACCAGAGGCTCCCAAGTCAGCTGTCACGGGTCTTGCAGGCTATGGAGGCTCTGAAAGGACTCAACGACGACGGCCTGCGACGGGACTACCCCCCGACTCCAGCATTGCCCCACAGGAAACAACAAGGGGGGCGGCCAACCCGACAGCAAGGTCGACGTTCAACAATCTGAGCCTCCCCTCCGCAGCTTTTTTTCTCGGCAGCCAGAGAGCTCCGATTTCTCTTTCCACGCGCAACAGCGACTGTACTAGCGACAGTACGATGGTTTCCCACAGTGAGCCAGCAGAGAAGGCGGCGGCGGCACCCGAGGCGCTGCAGGACCAGAACGGCGGCGAGAACACACCGCAGCCGAATGAGGACGCCGTTGTGTAGAAGGCGGCAGACAGAGGCAGCGGAGTGACGGACGCCGTCTTCGGGACTATGGCCATCCGCCTCGCCACTGCCCACTGCACCCTGCAGAGCACAGGCGAGCTCCTCCCGAAGCTGCTCGAGCACTCGGACACAGTGCAGTCCCAGCTTTACGCCCAGCGGGACCGCGTCGCCATGACGCTCGCTCGCACCAGCGCCTCGAAGAGTTTCAACTGCCATGGGGAGACGGAGCGGGCCCACACGACGGTGCTGATCAAGATGCACATCGAAGAGCTCACGGCGGCGATCGAAAAGTGCAGGGAGGTGGGGGCCCACCTCACGGATGCCAGCCGCCTGTACAAAGGGCCTTTCCCGTGGGAGCTGGATTACACGAGGTACCAGTGCAACGAGCTGGAGGGTTTCTACAGCAAGGCCACGACGAGGTCAAGAAGGACGGGGCGCCCACCATGGGCGGCGGGGCGGCGGCCGAGACCATCACCAGCATGCAGCCCCGAAGGCCGCCGCGCAGGTTCCCCAGTCCAGCGGTCAAGGGATGGACCACACACGGAGTAAAGGTCGCGAGGCCGTCCTTGCAGGAGCAGCCGCCCGCGCAGGACATGGCGCAGCAGCCACTCCCGACGCAGCGCCCCAGCAGCAGCGGCGTTAGAACGCACGACCAGGAGGCAGCACGCGCTGCGGGACGGGGAGTCGGCATAGGCGGCCCTAGCGCCAGCACGCAGAACACAGAGGGGGGTCGAAGTGTGAGAAGCCTGTCAGCTTGCGCCCGCCAGACAGCCAAGCAGCACGATGCCCAGCTGCAGGGTGCCGAAGGGCACTCAGCAGCAGCAGCAGCAGCAGCAGCAGCAGCAGCAGCAGCAGCAAGGTGATCAGGCGCCCGCCAGCTTGCCAAGCAGCACTGCGCCCAGCTGCAGGGGGCCGAAGGGCGCTCCGCAGCAGCAGCAGCCGTCGTGCATTATAACGTGCCAGCCTGATAGGGACGAGGGGGCAGGGGAGGGCGGGGGGAGTTGTGGAGTGCGGGGGAGTGCAGAGGTCCTCGGCAGGGGCCGCCCCGCTCTCTCTCTCTCTCTCTCTCTCTCTCTCTCTCTCTCTCTCTCTCTCTCTCTCTCTCTCTCTCTCTCCTCTCTCTCTCTCTCTCTCTCTCTCTCTCCTCTCTCTCTCTCTCGCTTTCTCTCTCTCTCTCTCTCTCCTCTCTCTCTCTCTCTTTCTCTCTTTTCTCTTTCTTTCTCTCTCTCTCTCTCTCTCTCTCTCTCTCTCTCTCTCTCTCTATCGCTCTCTCTCTCTCTCTCTCGATCCTAAGCGGGGTTTCCCGCTGGAGGGACACGAGGGCCACCCACCACGTAGCGGTGGCCTCGACACCCCATGCTGCCCCCCTGAAACAAAGCGGGCTAGCACCCGTATGACCCCCGATGGGGCCCCGCCCGATTCTCAAAGCCCCCCAGAGGGGGCGCTCGAGACCATGGACCCCCCAAGGGCCTTTACCTTTACCTTCACCTTTACCTTTCCTCCTCCTCCTCCTCTTCCCCCTCCTCCTCCTCCTCCTCCTCCTCCTCCTCCTCCTCCTCCTCCTCCTCATCCTCATCCTAGCCGTTTCGGCTCTGGCTCGAGGGATTCGCCAGCGTTGACGCCCGCGTACTTCGAAACGGCACACGGGCGTGGGCCATGGGCTCGGAGCAATGCCCCGGAGCCGTGCACCTTCGGCATGGCATGACGGCCGCCCACTCGTCAAGCGAGGAGGGGGAGGACATCCGGGCAGTGCTACGGGGCGAAGTTCGAGAGCAAACGGCGGCGGCGAGGGCCGACTTGTGGAAGGACGTCGTCGAGGAGGTGAGGAAACAGGTGGGCGAGGCCGTGCAGAAGCTGGCGGAGGCCAGCGGGCACACGACGGAGCCGGGCTCTCGCGCGCGGGCCCCCGATGGGCTCCCCGCGCGAGGCCCAGGAGCGCCCGCTGCCGCGGAAGGAAGTGGCGCCGGTGGAGGCAGCCGCGAGGGCCGAGGAGGGCTCCCCGCGCGAGCCGAAGACCCGGGCCCCTCCTGCCCCGACTTCGCCGACGGAGGGCCGCCACGTAGCCCCAGGAGCGAAGCTGCGGGCGGAGCCACGTGCGCGGGCCCCGAGGGACTCCCCGCGCGCGCCGGCGGAGGCGGCGAGGCAGGCCCCGCCTCCGGAGGCAAGGAGGCGGTCGGCCCGGGACTCCGAGCGGAGACAGCGCTCGTCGGAGGAGTCCGGGTCGGACAGCGACTCGACGGAGGCGGCGAGCGCGACGACGCCCCCGCGCAAGAGGGGGCAGGCGCCGGCCAAGCCGTCGAGGAGGGTGCGGGGCAAGCGCCCGAGGTGCCAGGAGGCCCCTCGGCGACGGGACCCGCGGAGGTCGCCGACGGCCGAAGATAGCCCCGAGGCAAGCAACAGCGAGGAGATGCCGTCCTCGGACGAGGCCAGCGCGAGCGAAGGGGAGAAGGAACCGTCGCCAGAGGGCTGCGCGTCTGGTGGCGTGGGACCTGGCGGACGCTCCCCCAGGCTGACGCTCAAGCCAGCCCCGAAGGAGAGGGCGACTTCGCCGCCGGGATCGCCAGAGAGGACGCCGAAGGCAACGGCGAGGCGTCGCACGGGCCAGCCGAGGTCGAGCAAGGCCAAGCGGGACAAGGCGAAGGAGGCCAAGCAAGCGGAGGCCCCGCCCCCGCCCTGGAGGACAGCTGCGCCAGCGACCAGGGAGAGTTGGGCCGGCCACCAGGGTCGGAGCGGCGTGGCCCGCTGGCAGGAGACGCCGGGTGGATGGAAGAACCGCTGAGCCCGGCGACAGCGGAACCCCAGAAGGCGAAGTGGGCGGACTGCTTGGAGGCGGACTGGGACCTGGAGCTGGTCTTTGAAGCCTTCAACGGGAAGTTCAACCCAGCCCTGGGGGCAGGCGGAGGAGGAGAAGTCGTCGACCGCACGATCGACGATCAGGCCGAACTCGGGAGTGCCCATTTTGGCCCGAGCTCGGAAGAAGGAGCCGGAGTCATCATCGAGGGGGGCCAAGTCGAAGAAGATCAGTTTTCAGAAGTGGGCTGCGAGGTGGCCGGAAGCGGAGGCGGAGAGCCTGGGCCGACGAAGACCGAGGTCCAGGCAACGTCTTCCGCGACGGGCGGCAGTTCACAGTTTTCGGGCGTCCTTCCGGAGGGAGGGAGCCCCAGCGGCGAGACCAAGAAGGGCCGCCGCCAGAGGAAGCACAAGAAGCTGGACTTCGACGAGGCGGGGGACGAGAACTGCGGGCACCAGGCGGGCGACGAGTTCGAAGCCGAGCTCCGTGCCCTGCTCAAGCCGCGGCTGGGCACCCCCTCAGCGAGGACCTGCACGAGCAGCTGGAGACGATGATCGCGTGCGTCAAGAAGGTGCTCGCGAATCACCCGGCGAAGGCGCTCGACATCAAGACCTACTTCCTGGACCAGGCTGTGACGTCCCTCGCAGGAGGGGCACTTTCGAGCTATGAACCTGGGCTCGGAAGTGAGGACGTCGCGAGCTGAGTTTCGGTCGGGAGTGCCAGCGTCACCACGGTTGGACTCGGTTTTGAAAACTGGGGGCTGTACCCCGTGGCCTAGGCTGGCTGCGGGGTAGAGCCGTGGCGCCTCTGGGCGGCTCGCCAGCCCCTCGTTTGGTTTGGTTTTGTGCTTTTTCGGTCGGGTGCTCCTGCACGCCGGTCTACAAAGAGCGGGCATCCGGCTGGATGGCTCGCTGTGCGGCAGCCGGCGCGCCGGCTCACGCGCCGAATTCGGCGCGCCCTACCCAACCCAACCCAACCCTCCTCCTCCTCCTCCTCCTCCTCCTCCTCCTCCTCTTCCTCCTCCTCCTCCTCCTCCTCCTCCTCCTCCTCCTCCTCCTGCTCCTCCTGCTCCTCCTCCTGCCCCTCCTGCTCCTGCTCCTCCTCCCCCCTCCTCCTCCTCATCCTCCTCCTCCTCCTCCTCCTCCTCCTCCTCCCCTCCTCCTCCCCCCCCTTCTCCTCCCCCTCCTCCTCCCTCCTCCTCCTCCTCCTCCTCCTCCTCCTGTCCTCCCTCCTCCCTCCTCCTCCTCCTCCTCTCATCATCATTCATTCCTCCCCCTCCTCCTACACCTTTCCTCCTCCTCCTCCTCCTCCCCCTCCTCCTCCTCCTTCCTCATCATCATCCTTCCCCCTCCTGACCGCGGTTCTCTCGGGGCCCGGCCAGTTCAGACCCCCCAGCCACCTCCACAATGCGGCTCTCTGTGAGCCCTTGGCGGGACTTGGCGGGGCCATCCCACAGGCCGAACGAAAACCTCTTGGGGGCCTAGCCGAGCCTTCTTTGTTTACGAAAAGCAAAAATACGATGGAGGCAAGCATGAGCCCTTTCAGCATCCTTGGACAATAATGAGCGAGGCCTCAGATGCCCATTGGAAGCGGGAACGACGCCAAACGTCACAGCGCATAGTTTCGCCTCTCGGTCCCGTTTGTTTGTTGGGGTCCGTTGGTTTTTAGTCACACCTAGCCATAGTGGTATTTATTTTAGGTATGTTGGAGGCCGCATTTAGCAAACGTTGGCCGTCTTGCGTGATATTGGAGGCCATCTTGGGCGAGCAGCACCTTCCTCGAAGGGGAGTTGATGGAAGCCTTTGGGCAAGTTAAAGCAGATATGGGCCCTGACGGGCCTCCTGGACTTTCAAACAATTCTATAAATGTTGGAGGCCATCTTGGGTCATCTGGAGCCTTTTATGCAGCCATGTTGGGTGATATTGGGACGCTATGAGCGCGCGAAAACCTCCGTCCATATGCAAGGGATGCGGCAGGGAGGGGTTCAAGCTACCCCCGAAGGGCGGCCGTCTCGCTCACTCGCACCCGCCCACCCACCACATGAGTAGCACCCGATTTCAGCATTGGCGAAGGCCGCCATTGGATGGATAGCCAGCGGGAACACTGTGCAGTGCTTTTCCAAAGGAATTGCAAGCCCGCACGCGCCACAAAATATGCGGGCACCGCCCTCACCCCTGTCCAAATAACGATGCACGATGGTCGGGGGACGCCTGCGCATGGTGCAGTATGTTGCCGCAGCGCGCCCTTTGCAGTTTCTGTCAGAGGTAGGGGGGCCTGCACACGCGGGGCAGTGTGCTGTGTCAAAGCAGAAAGAGTACAACGTGATCGCGCAGCGCCCGAGCAGGATGGAGATGTTGCCGTTGCCGCACGGTGCACTGTGCAATTTGTTGCGTGACGGAATGGGTGTGGGGGTGACATGGTTTGGGGCCACATCGAATAGGGTTGATGCATTATGAGGAGCATTGATACGCCCCTCCCCGGAAGGGGAAGAAGGCGGTGGGGAGAGGCAACGTTCTAGGACCCATCCACCCAGCAAGAGGGCTGGGGGGATGTGCGACCCCCAGCGCCATCAAAGAATATTCAGGACGATCAATTTCCACAGGGAAAGCGGTCGGGACTTGTGGGGCCGCGGGCCGGAACAAACAACATGGTCGGATGTTTGAGCCCTGGCCTGGCCAGTCCTATTTCGGGCCCAGTATCGGTGCACACGCCGTACTGACGTGGCCAAGCACGGCAAGTACACCGATCCTGGGCCCAGGATGGGCTTGGCCCGAATCGGCGTTTGGTCGTCGTTTTCTGATTCATTGTTGGTTTGCCGATCGGCGCGGGACCTCGCACCCCCCCTCCTTCCCCCATGGAGTAGATCTTGGCTGTTTGGGGCGCCTGTTTCAAGAAGGTGGACGGCTCCCCATCGGAGTCCCCATTGGACCTCACTTCCGAACAGTCTCGCTAAGCAGAGGTCCGGAGCCAGAACCCCCCCCCGCTCCTTCCGCTCAGCGTCGAATTTGCCGAATAAGAAAACGCCCATTTGTGCGCTCTTGCAGGCCCCCCGAACAGTGAGCCGGAGTGCGCAGGCGGGGTCGGAGGATCGCGCCGCACCGCGACGGCGGCGCAATCCAGAGCCCGCCCTCCTCCACCCCAGCGCTGCCAGTGGATCGCCGGCGCGGCGCGGTGCCAAGGTCCCTCTGCGTGTTAACGATGGTCCTCGGGAGGGGTGCCCTGGCCCTGGAAATCTCTGGAGGGTTCTGGGAACTCTCGGGAGGCTCAAGAACTCGAGAACACAACGCTCAACAGTTTCAGCCCTCCTCCTGCTCCTCCTGCTCCTCCTGCGCCTCCTGCGCCTCCTGCTCCTCCTGCTCCTCCTGCTCCTCCTGCTCCTCCTGCTCCTCCTTCTCCTCCTGCTGCTCCTCCTCCTTCTCCTCCTCCTCCTCCTGCTCCTCGAAGAATTTCACGTCATCAGTGTTTCATTTCTCGAGGGGGTCTGGGTTGCATGCCGTGCCCGCGAGCGCGCCCCTCTACCCGAGGCCCCCCAGTGAGCTACGGCCCGGACGGGATGCCCATGCAGGACGCGGGCACCATGCCGGGCGCGATGCCGCCGCAGGCGTCCTGCGGAGACAGAGTGGGCGAAGAACAGAGCTGTTGGCCGTCGTGGGCCCCGAACACGGATTTCGCGCAAGGTGTACTGCGCAGTCGTCTAGTTTCCCAGGCCCCCTTCGGGCAATGAAAAAGTCACGACGGGAGGGTTTTGCCTGATCTGCAGCCTCCGAGCCCTTTACCGGGCCTCGTGGCCGTCAAACAACGGCTAAGGATGAGAGACCGGTCCCCGGGGAAGGGGTCCAGACTTGGGGGTCGCGTCACGAAGAAATCATGACGTCGGGGGTCTGGGTTGTGCCGTGGATGTGGTGTTGGTGCAGTCCATGTGGTGCAATCTGTGTGGCGCAACACAACGCTCCAGAGCAATGCAAAGGAAAACAATGCGAAGCAATGAAAAACAACGCAACGCAACGCAACACAAAGGAATGCAAAGCAACCCCAAGCAGAGCAAAGCAATTCAAAGCAGTGCAAAGCAGAGAAATCCAGTACAGCGCAGCGCAATGCGATGCAAACAGATGGAAAGTTGTGCAAAGCAACGCAAAGCAATGTAAAGTGCGAGCCTCGCACAATCAAAGTCGTGACCAAGGACGGCGGCGACGGGCGGCTTCAAGCCGGCCGGATCGACAACCAGGCCCAGCTCCTTAGAAGAGGAGCAAGATTCACTAAGTGCAAGCACTGCTTCTGAAAAACCTGCTAAAACATAATTTCTCGGCTCCGCGCGGATATCTTGGATCGGCTCCTGGGCCCCCCTGGCGGCGCCTCCGGCGCCACCCATGGCGCGCCACGGGCGCATGTGAATGGGGGGGGGGCCCAGCGCCGATCCGAGAAATCCGCGAGGTCAGATCCCTAACTGTGGGAGTCGGAGGCGCACCGGCGCAGACCAGGCCAGAAGAGCGCAGAAGCGTGGTCCAAATTTCGGGCGCTCTCGCCCCAGTCTTGGGGCGCTCTGGTCAGTTGCCGTCGCATTTCGCGGCGCCCCCGTAGCGCTGAGAGTATCCAGGCTTCCCGAGTGGGGTCCGAGCAGCTGGGGTCGGAGGGTTGCGCCGGAACGTCGATGCATCGGCGATGCGGCTCGCGGTGGAGCCCGATCTTCTCCGCGCAGGTGGCGCCGATGCATCGCCGACGGCTCCATTACCTCGCGGATTCATCAGCGATGAGGCGCGATCCTCAGACCAGATCATCTGCTCGGGCCGCGTGTGAGAGGCCTCAGGAGTAAGACCCCGTGATCCAGGACCCGTTCCCCGCAGGACCGGCTGCTTCCATGCCTAGGGAAGGGGCGCGCGCGGGATGGCGGGCGGCCTTTTTGGGTATTGTTGTCGAGCCCAGGGGCCATCAGCAAATCATCCGGGATGGTTTACAGTGGGGGCGCGTGCCAAGAAACCAGTTGGATTTTGCCAGGGTGCCCCGGGTTTCTTGAATTTCGATGGGCTCCCAATCAGATCTTGACGATTTTCGATCGACACATGTGGATTCTCACTCAACAAGTCGCGGATTTCAGGGTTGGGGTTCTTGCGGAGGTTTCTTGTGGCCGAGCCCCCACTGTACTGCTCCCGTGGAATTGGGTCATCCGCGGGGGCGCGAAGGTGCAGTCAACCCGCATAGCAAGGATGAGCACTTCTCCAAGGTCACCCCCGCATCCTTCAGGAGGGGAAAAACCACACGGACACAATTAATCGACGACTCCCAGGAAGATGTGGGGAAATATGGGAAGTGGGGGCGAAGTCGAAAACCCAGAAAATATGTGGAGATATGGGGAATCTGGTTATCTGTGTCTCCTTTTTTCTTGTGTGTCTCCGGGCCCCTTCGATCCTTCCCCTTCGGCCCACCCCTGGGCCGCTCCCTCGCTGGCCGCAAGCCCGCTCGCAGAGCGTCGGCGCGGCACTGCAGGGCCCCTGCATCCTCGTCGTGCGTCCTCATTGAGAGGGTTAAGTCGGGCCTGTCCCTCTACAAGGGGGGGTACTCAAAAATAGTAAAAGAATAGGCTGGGGACTATGTTTTGACGATGTTTGGGGCATTTGGGGGATATGTTGGGGGTATTTTTTAATTTCTCGGCCAAAATCACCCTGTAGGGGGACAGGCCCGACTTAATGCAAGGGTTGGCTGTGCTCGCGCTGCGCACGCCGCGACCTCGGCCAGAGCGGCTGCTCTTCTCCAAGGTGAGCGACGAGTAAAAACACACACACACACAACGCAATGTGGGTTCGATTGCGCCGACGTTCGCGCGTAAGTTGCTCGCGCAAGGTCTCGCGTAAGCGCCCTCGCCTCCACTGTGACTGGCCGCGCTGGCGGCCCGCGTAGGACACGGCGTAAGATTGCTGCGTCCTCTCTCGCGTGAGACCCGTTTTCGATCGTCGCTCGGGTGGCGGCGCGAGGGCGCGAAGATGGTCGCGCGCGCCGGCGTGGGCGGGCGAGCAAGAGATGGCCGTCCTTCGACTAGGCGTAAGAGTGACCTTTCGCCGGAGTGACCTCTGGTGCGGGTTCACCGGGGCCCCCCCCGATCGCTGAGCGCGATGCGATAGTTGCTGCCCGCGCTTTGGAATTGGCCACCTCGCGCACCCCTAGTCTGCGCACGAAAGGTCACTCGTGCCCAGGGTCGAGTCCTGGGGTCTCAGGGTCGGCTTTGTCGTGGAAGGTTTCCTGTGGGCTGGCCTCCACTGGACTCGCGCGCCAGTGCGTCAGGAGGGAAGCAACACACAGACACAAGTCACGATCCCCCAGAATATGTGGGGAAATATGGGAGGTGGGGGTGGAAGACGAAAACCCTGAAAGCATGGGAAAATGTGGGGAATCCTGTTGTTTGTGTGTGTGTGTATCTATGTGTGTGTCCTTGGGCCCCTCCAGCGCGGGAGGACGAGCAAGAGATGCCCTTCCTGGGGGGGGGTCAGCGGCCGCCACGCCGCGTCGCCTGCTTGGGGCGGTGGCTGCTGGGTGCCGTCCCGGACCTGCTCGTGGCCGCCGCCGCCGGCTCCGATTCCTGCGCCAGCCTCCCCCTCCCCCTCGCCCTCCTCATCCCCCTCCTCCCCCTCCCCCTCCCCCTCTCCTCCTCCTCCTCCTCCTCCTCCTCCTCCTCCTCCTCCTCCTCCTCCTCCTCCTCCTCCAGCATCCTGCTCAGCGGCAGAGAGGCGCCGTTCTCAACCATTTCAGGAGCGGCAAAGAGGGGGGTGATGACTAGAGGGGGGGGATCTCATGGCGGGGGCCATGATATCTCCCCGGATGTCATGGCGCCTCTTCTTATTCCGATACGTCCCTGGCCCCCTCCCCCGGGGCCGCGCACATGCCGCCGGCCATGATTTGCGCACCCCCCCCTCTTGGACACCCCCCTCTTGGCCGCCCCGACAGCATCTTTCCCGGCGGCAGGAGACACCTTTCTCAGCTGGGGGGCCCCCAGACGGTGTGGTGACCACACCGTGTGGTGGGTTGGTGAGGATTCGGGGTCACCGCACGGTTTTGGGACTAGAGTACCTCTCCGATGACGTCTCGGGCGACAGGGGCCTCCAGGGTCCCAAGACCGTGCGGTGACGGACCGTGCGGTGAGGTCTCCTGTGGTTCCGAGGTCACCGCACGGTCTGTCACCACACGGTTTCGATATCCCCAGTCAACCGGTCCTATCCTACATTCGGGGGGGCGCGCCGAAAGTTTATGCTTATGTATTTTTCTTCTTAGGAGACACCTTTCTCAATCGTTCCCACCCTCTCCAGCATCTTTCCTGGCGGAAGGAGTCAGAGAAGAGAAGACGCCAACGACAAACTTTTGGCGCTCCGCGCGGATTTCTTGGATCCGCGCTGAGGCCCCCCTGGCGGCGCCTCCGGCGCCGCCCCGCGGGCGCTCCGCGCGCCACGGAGGGGGGGTCCAGCGCAGATCCAAGAAATTCGCGCGGAGCGCCGAAAGTTTATGTTTATGCGTGTCGTCTTCGTCTTCTTCTTATTCTGATTATTATTATTATTATTCTTATTATTATTCTTCTTATTATTAGTATTATGTTTCTTATTATTGGTCTTATTAGTATGGTTATTATGTGTCCTTTTCTTATGATTATGCTTATATCATTATTATGCCTATTATTATTAGTATTATTGTGATTCCTGTTATTGTTATTCTTATTAGTATGATTCTTCTTATTATTATGCTTTTTCTTCTTCTCAAGTGGCACCTTTCTCAATTATCCCCATCCTACATGCGGGCGATGGGGCGGGGGGTGCAGTAAAGGGGGAAGGGGGAGGGACGGGGGCTGGGAGTCCAGGGTTGGTCATTTCGGGAGCCATTCGGGGGACATGGCCTTCCCCAGTCCTCCCTCCTTCGCTCTCCCCGTCCCGCCCCATAGTTCCCCCCCGCTCCCCATCTTTCCCCTCGAGTCCCAGCGCCCCTCCTGGGTTCCCCTGCCCCCGCCCCCCCGGGCTCCCTCCCCTCGACGTCTCCCCTCCCCCCGTCCTCCTCCTCCGCCCCCGCCTGGAGGCCGGAACGATGCCGGGCATGATGGGGGCCCCGCAGCACCAGATGCCCATGATGGGGGCCCCGCAGTGAGGCGACGGGCGGCGCGGCACGGGCGGCGCTCGGGGCGCGGCGGGGAGCGGGGAGGAGCTAGGTGCCAGGGTCTGGAGCAACGAGACCTGTGCATTTCCACTGGCCCAGGATCTTGGCATCGCTAAGGCGTGTGCATTCTTCTCGACGAGGACCATCGAGGAGCCTCTTGGATAGGTGAGCGCGCGGGGCCGAAGAAATGTACGGGGGATAGACGTACGAGCGATGGCGAGGGTCGGTCCAGGCCTGGGGCAGTGGATGTGTACAGATCCCGTCGACCATGGATCGACGCGCGAGGGCTCTGGGGGAACCTCCCGCGAGCCAGGGGAGGGAGGGAGGAGTGGAGGGCTGGGACTCGCGGGCGCAGCACGGCACGGGGAAGGGGGGGGGCGAGAGGGAGGATCGGGGTGCGAGGTTTCGAGGGTCGTTGGCTCCGCCAGGCCCTCCTGTCTCGTCGGGCGCCCGGCTTGAGTGCGCGGCGCCGCGCCCCTCCTGTTTCCTCTCCTCCTCCCCCTTCGCCGAGCGCGTTCCCCTATTCGCAAAGTGCCGACTCGCAAATGTCCGAAAAACACCTGCCCGCTTTGATGTAATGTATCATAGATCCCCCGCGGGGGATCCAGGCCATTTGCGAGCAGTTACTTTGCGAGTAGTGGAACGCGCTCGTCGACCCCTGGCGGCTCTGCCTGGGCCTCGTCTGCGGCGGCCTCGTCTTCCGCGGCCTCTTCGGTGGCCGCGCTTGCGAGCGCCGCGTGCCCGACGGCGCGCTGCTCGGGCCTCTCGCGCTGGACCTCCGCGTCGGCCCGAATGCTCTGACCCGTTCGCTCCCTTGAGGGGCCTGTTTGCCACCACCACCACCATAAGTTGGAGGGGAGGAGGAGGAGGAGGAGGAGGAGGAGGCGGAGAAGGAGGAGGAGGAGGAGGACGAAGAGGAGGAGGAGGAGGAGGAGGAGGAGGACCCCCTCCTCCTCCAACTGGCGGTGGTGGTGGTGGGAAACAGGCCCATCATCCCTTCCTCTGTTCCCCGTCCGCATGCGACCGCATGCCGCCGCCTCGCGCATCTCGTGCCCGCTCGGGGCGCTCCCCCCGCGGCCTCGCCGCGGGTGAGGGCCGCATGCCGCCGCCCCGCCCACTTCGGGGCTCCAGCGGGTGCGCTCCTGCGCCGCCCCCCAGCGGGCCCGTCGGCACGCCCCTCACGCGGATCGTGCCCCGCAGAGGGTTCCGCGCGCCTCTGCCCCGGGCGAGCGTGTTCTCGGCACCCGCGTGGCGGAGAGCAGGATCGCCCAGAGCCCCTCCAAGGAGAGCATGGCGGGCCGCGCGGCTGCCAACCGGGCCGGCAGGCGCAGCGGCCAGAGCCCGCCGCCACGCGCTGGCATTCTGCTCGGAGCGCGGCTTCAGAGTGACGGCGCTGGCCGCAGCGCAGCGCGTGCTCGCTGCGACCGGGCCGCGGCAGTGCCGCCTGCGGTGCTTGCCACCCTCCGCCGCGGCGCCAGAGGACGCGCGCTGCGAGGTGGCCCGGCGGGGCCGTCGCGCCCTAGCTGTGCCGGCCGAGGCGGCGCTCGCCCTGTTCTTCACAGGCGCCGTGCGGAGGCGCACGCAGCGACGCGGGCCCCGGGCTCGAGTGGCGTGCCTGTGCGGTGTGGCGGTTCGGCGGCGCGGTGGTCGCGCAGCTGGCTGCGAGGCCGTGCCCGGGGTGGGCGTCGGCGCTCCCGCCGCGGGCGGCCATGCGGTCACTGACGCCGGCTGCGCGCCGGCGGTGGCGTGGAGGGCTGCAGGGGATGCAGCGCACCAGTGCGCATGTGCGTCGTGGGCCCCCAGTCCGCACTGCCCTGCGGCGCGCAGCACGGTAGGTTCGCGTCGTTTCGGCGCGGCTTCGACATTGCCGCGGGCGGTTCAGGTTGAACGCCGCCAGCGGCACAGAATCGGCCAAGATGGAAGGATCTGGCGACTGAAAAGCCGCCGACTGTTAATGTCGTCGGCGAGCGAGGGGGGAAGTGAGAGTGTGAAGGCATCGGCCAAGATGGAAGGATCTGGCGACTGAAAAGCCGCCGACTGTTAATGTCGTCGGCGAGCGAGGGGGGAAGTGAGAGTGTGAAGGCTCTCTCAGAAGGCGGCGGGGTTTCCCAGAAGCTCTCCAGCCTACTCAGAAGTTTCCTGCGTTTCCGGGGAGGTTCCGGAGGCTCCTCAGGATGTCCGGGAGCCTTCTGAGAAGGCCCGCCCCTTCTCGCTTCCCCCCCGGGCTTGCCGCCGATAATGGCTTGACGAGCCACGCTGTGTCAAGAGCCAACGCACAGGTCGTCCTGGCACGAACCCGTCGCCTGCTGCACACCAGGGGTGGACCTACGCGGTGTTATGGCGATTTCGTGGGCCGTGTTCGTTTCGATGTCGTTCCGCGTTCAAGGCGGATTGAAGACCAAAGCGAGGGAAAACGAAAACAAAACGAACACGGAAAACACCGTTTAGGTGCAGCCCTGCTGCACACAGTGTTGCTTCTTGCGCCAGGCCTCCTCGCTTCGCGGTCTCCGCCGAGCGGGCTGCTCGGCGCCCTCCGCGCGGGGGTCCCCCGAGGGGGCCTCCCAGCACCCTGACCGCGGGTCCGCAGGGGGGCCTCCTCCTCCCCGTCCTCCTCCTCCTCCTCCTCCTCCTCCTCCTCCTCCTCCTCCTGCTCCTCCTCCTCCTGCTCCTGCTCCTGCTCCTCCTCCTCACACCTTCATCCCTCTTGCCCTCCCACCATCCCCCTCCTCCCCCATCTTCCTCCTCCTCCTCCTCCTCCGCCCCATTCAGCCTGGAGCCCAAGGTTTCCATTCCGTCAGACCAGGGGAACACCGAGGGTCCGCAGGGGGGCAGTCCATGTCGATCCGATCGCTCCGATTCGATCTCGGCTCTGGCCGGCCCGATCCGGTTCGATTCGGATGTTCGGGCGGTCCGACGTCCGATGCGGCACGATGCTTGCATGGTCCTGTTGTCCTGTTATGCACTCTGGCACCGCCGATTCGGCCCGATTCCGGTTCCCAGCCGATGCGGCCCGATTCCATACACGGCCCGATCCGTCCGATTTCCAGATTACATGTCGACGAATCTTGCTAGAGGGCGATAGAGGAGATGGATTTGTAGGCGCGACACGGCGTGGGGAGAGGGGGGGCGGGAAGCGGGTGAAAACACGAGCACGCTGGACGGGGGGAGGAGGGGGAGGAGGAGAGGCAGCAGGAGCGGCAGGAGCAGTCAGCGTCAGGAGGAGGAGGAGGAGGAGGAGGAGAAGGACGGGGGCCAGGGTAAGCCAAAGACGCGCTGACGATTATACATGTTGCAGTCGACCCTCCTTCCAAGGTCACTTGCCATATGTCTCTGCAGGAATTGTTTGGCATTGCGGGAAGTGCCCCATCGGAAGCTATCCCTCTGAGAATTGTCAGCCATGCCAACGCTTCATTCCTGGGAGTTCAGCATCGCGAATCAACGTTACTGGTGAGCCCTCAAAATCCTAGATCGTGCAAGAGCACCTTTCCTGGGAATTCAACCATACGAATCCGTAGAGTTGTTGCAAACGTTTAGAACGATTGTGCGCGGCGCCAAGGCGGGAGCCCCATTTAAGAATGAATCGCCCTCCTCGAAGCTGCTGCAAACGTTTAAGACGAATGCGCGCGGCGCTGGCAACGATCCGCCCTCCGTCCTTGAACGTGCTGTAAATTTCCAGCTGCAGGATCATAGCTGATGGGGAAGTCTCTGGCGAAAGGCACGGCCCGCCATGCCAACACGAACGTGGGCGCAACGGGGGCGCCCCTGAGGAAAAACATATTGACGTTTCGGGTATCCCCACAAGCCCTGCTGGCCCCCCGGGGTGCCTCGCCGACTAGGCCCTCGGCTGGCTGGCGCCGCGCCGAGTGCCGCTCGCGCGTTCCCCCCCTCGCCGGGCGTGCTTACCCCCACGAGTTCGGCGATGGCCCTGCACCCTGCTTGCACTGTCGGTGTTGCCTGGGCCGCCGCTCCGCCATGCCACCCCTCTGGCGATCCGGGTCTACCGTCGAGCGCCTGCACGTTCGCCCCCTTCGACTTTGCGTTCGTGGGCTTCGTTTTCCTCGCGAGCGTGGTCGTGGCCGTTGAGGGTTTGGGCATCAATTGCGCCGCCTTTTTGGCGCTGCGCGCGGACCACTTCTTCTTGGTATTCCACGGTTTCGGCGTGCTCGCCCTGGCCTTCAAAGTGTTTTTCCTGTGCTTTTGCGTCTTCCTCGCCCCCTGAGTTGCTGCGTAGCTCGCTCCCGCTGCTTGTGGTTAGTTTAGTGGTTGGCTCGGCTGCTTTGTTACTTTCGGCGCGCTGTCGGACCGTGCCCATCCACGAATGATGCCTAGGCAAGTTGCTTTGATCAGGGAAGCGGAGGAGCATGCAGTGGACCAAGACGTGAAGAAGCCGTTGAACAAAAGTCTTGGATCAGCCTACGAAGACCCAAGAGCGAACCGCATGCGCTTTCGCGGACTTGCCGAATCACGAAAGGCGGGGAAGAAGGACGAAGGGGGATGAGGGAGAGGAGGAGAAGGAGGAGGAGGAAGAGGAGGAGGAGGAGGAGAGAAGAGAAGAGAAGAGAAGAGAAGAGAAGAGAAGAGAAGAGAAGAGAAGAGAAGAGAAGAGAAGAGAAGAGAAGAGAAGAGAAGAGAAGAGAAGGAGGGGGAGGGGGGGACGAGGAGGCGGAGGAGGAGGAGGAGGAGGAGGAAGAGGAGGACAATGGAAAGTTCGGAAGTTTTTGGGGGCGTCTTGGGGGGCCTTGGCGGTCCCGGGGGGGTTTGGCGTACCTCGGGGAGCCGTTTGGGCCTCCCCTGGGAACCGCTCGGAGGCCTCTGGGGCGCCTACTGGGGCTCCCTTGGCGCCTCTTCAGGCCATCTTAGGGCGCTCTCAGGAGGCTCCGGGACGCTCTTGGAGCCATCTTGGAGGACGCCTGAAGAAGGGAGGAGCTTCAATGAGCCTTCGCCCCATATACTAGAGTGCCTGGAATCGTCTGTTGGTCGCCTCTGAGCGCGCTCTTGGGGCCGTCTTGGGGCTCTCTCAGGCCTCTCTCGGGGCTCTTCGGGAGCACTCCTGGAGCTGTGGCCTTGGAGGGCCATCGAAAACAAAAGGGCGAGAAGGCAAATGTCATTACTTATCCTCCGGTGTTTGAAGGATGTTGGCTTCTTGGCGGCCTCCGCGAGACGTTCCGTGACAATGTGGAGCCTTCTTGGAACGGTTTTGAGGCCTCGTGGAACATCTTGGGGGCCATCTTGAGGCATATTGGGCTATAGTGCGCCATATTAGTGGTCATCTTGTGTTCTCTGAGGCCCTACTGTCTTACGCGATCTTGGATGCTCTGACCGCTTGCGAAACGCCCTCCGGGTCCACGGGAAGGGATAGGGGGAGCGGTAAAACTTTCCCCGAAGGGGAAGGGGAGTGTTGAAAGGGGAGCCTCTCTACGCACAGGCTTGGTGGGAGTATCCTGGCGAAGGGCCCAACCATACGCATACAGTTGTGAGTATCGCCGTTGTGAGCATCGCCTTCGGTGGAGCTCCCCATGGGGCCACGAAGCGTATGAGGGTTGTGCCGAAATTGGTGCGGGGCCGCCATGCGAACTCTGCCACTGCGGCCTTCGGTGGAGATCCCTATGGGGGCCACGAAAGGTGTGAGGGGTGTACGGAATTAAGCGGCGCAGGCTGAGCTGAAATCGAGGAGGACGAGGAGGAGGAGGAGGAGGAGGAGGAGGAGGAGGAGGAGGAGGAGGAGGAGGAGGAGGAGGAGGGGAGAGAAGATGAGGGGGAGGGGACGAGGCGGAGCAGGAGCAGGGAGCAGGAGGAAGAGCAGGAGCAGCAGGAGCAGCAGGAGGGGCAGGAGGGGCAGCAGGAGCAGGAGGGGCAGAGGAGGAGCAGGAGGAGCAGGAGGAAGCAGGAACAGGAGGAGGAGGAGGAGGAGGAGGGGAGGAGGAGGAAGAGGAGGAGGAGGAGGAGGAGGAGGAGGAGGAAGAGGATGGGCAGCGAGAGGAGGGAAGGGGACGCGGGGTGCTGACTTCCAAACGAGAAAAGATGGGGCAGAGCATATTGCAGCAGGAGCTGGGGAGCAGGAGGAGGGGGAAAAGGAGGAGGAGGCGGAGGGCCTTCCGCCCGGGGCGGGCTGGGCATAGGAAGGGGAGGGGGAGGAAAGATAGGAGGAGGAGGGGAGGAGGAGGAACGAGAGGAGGACGGGGGGAAGGGGGAGGAGGGGGGGGGGGGGGAGAGGGGGAGGAGCAGGGGGAAGGAAGGGAAAGGAGCAGGGGAAGGGAGGCAGGGGAGGAGGGGGAAGAGGAGGGGGAGGAGGAGGGGGAGGAGGGGGGGAGGAGGAGAGGGAGGAGGAGGGGGAGGACGGGGAGGCGGGAGGCCTTTTGCCCAGGGTGGGGTGGGGGTACTAGACGGGCTGGAGGTATGGAGGTTGCGTCGCTCTTCTCTCTGACAGGACGGGGTTGGCCTTAGGCCGCCCCTCCCCGCACGGCAGGAGCAGGAGGAGCTTCGCGAGAGGCTCAAGACCAAGCGGCGTCGAGGGCCTGATGATGAAGGTTCAGGGCGCGGGGAGGCCTCTGCTTCTCAACCTGCTGGAGTACCTGGCGGAGGGGAGCAGATGGCGGAGGCCACCCCAGTTCCTGGTGGTGACGTGCCTGATGGGACCATCGAGATCGACCCCGAGGATTTCAAGGCGAAGGCCCAGCGCATCCTGGATGAGGCCATCGCCCAGGAGAGGGTGTCTGATGGCAAAGGAGAAGTTCGTGGCAAGGGCCTTGGCGCGGGCAAAGGGTCTGCACTTTAGCATCAACGAGGGCCTCGACATCGAGGCGCTGCAGGTGGTTGGTTCGTCGACTACCACTGGTACCTGGTCGAGTGCGTGGCCCGGGTTGTTCCCTGAGAAGGTGGAGACCCAATGCCTGTGGAACTCGGGCGGCGGGAATCGCTGGAGGGAGCAGTCGAGTACGACTGGAAGTTCGGGTTCGACATCCACAGGGGTTGCGGGTCTGGACCTGAGGGACCAGAGTCAGCCTGACTCTGGGTCGTTTTGTGAGCTTTGGCCTGGCAGCAGCGGGCTTTATTCACCGGGGTTCGGTGGATGGGTTACCGAAGCTTCCAGGCAACTGGAGGTTGCTTGGTGGTCTCTGGGTAAGGCGGCTCCAGGGAGGCTGGCAACTGGGGGCCTGTCTCGGTCTCGGCCCTGGGGGGGGGCTTCGGTGTCTGGGCCTCCTGGGCTGTTCTGGCTTTGTCCTCGGGGTGTCCCTCCCCCACCAGTTGCCGCCCCGCCTGTGCTGCCGATCCCTAAGCCCGTTCCCCCAGCCCCCGAGGTGAGCCCGACTTTAACACGTGCCCGCTGGAGGTGGAAGGCCCACGACGGCCAGCCCGAGCGGGAAGGTCTGGGGACTGGAGAGGATAATTGTAAATATTTTTCCATCACAACGTGCAACACGACGTCCTGGGAGTCCGCGAAACGGTTTCTCGACGGGGAGTGCGAGAGCCATGTTGTGGTATTACAGGAGGTTGCTGTGGAGGAGAAGGAGCGGGTCGCTTCAGAGGATCTATTTCGCAAGCGAGCTTGGAATGTCAGCATCGGGGCATCAGTTGTCACCGAGGCAGGTGGGCTGTCTGCAGGTGTGGCTGTGTGCTGCAAGTCACATGTTGGCATGAGTCTCCCGCCGTCTACACCTCGTGCGTTGCCGTTTCCTGAGCGCATTCAGTTGAGATGGGTGAATGCGTACATTCCTGGAGGTTCTGTGTTCGGTTCAATATACTTACCTGGTGACGATCCATTGGGGGCTGTTGGCAGTGAAATTCTCGGAAGCGCCGGAGAAGTCTTGCACTCCTTAGGGCTCCCGTTCGTCTTGGGTGGGGACTGGAACGCTACTCCAGAGGTACTTCAGTAGATGGGCTGGCCTTCGAGACTTCGTGGTCGCATCGTCCGTCCTGATTCGTGCACGTGTAAGGCGACTGCTAAGAAGTGGCGCACGATTGATTATTTTGTCATGTCCGCGGGTCTCGCAGCCAACGTCTTGTCTCGTGCGATCAGCAGGAAGGCATATGTCAAACCTCATTGGCCAGTGGTGGTCACGTTTAAAGGCAGGCCCTTGGATGAGAAGATCAACATCCCCCGCTTGCCGCGCCTTTTCCCGACAGCTCGTCGTAGGCCCGAGGTGCCAGCCCAGGGACTATGGAGGGTTGTTGCAGGAGGTTGATAGCATTGAGAGGAAGGAGGAGCTAGACGATTGTTGCACACGTTTTGTTGAAGCGTTGGAACTTGAGCTGGCCGAGCATCATGGGCTGCAGCACGAGCGCAGCCACTTTGGTCGCGGCTATCCCCCGCAGCAGGTCACTGTCTCGGCGATTCGTCTCTCTGGTGGGCCGTGCCCGCTCGCCAGCTCAGAGTGCCGAGGCTGGAGGAGGATATGTAAGTGGTTGGGGGAACTGCTGTGCCTTGTCAAAGGCCCCGCGCGGGGCAATGTTTGTTGCATGGGCATCTTGCGTGGCCTGGCCAGAGGCCCCGAGGAGCTCAGATCCAATCCCGACTGGAAGGCATGGGCCCCCAGCTTCAGCCATTTGCACGCTGCCAGCGCCACTCGGCTCGCGGACCTCCTTGCACAGGCTGAGAAGGCTGCGACGAAGACAGAGAGGGCCTACACCGCTACTCGTGGCAAGCAGCGGAGGTCTTGGGTGGCTGAGACGGTGACTAATGGGGGAGGAGCTGCCCACAAATATACTCAGTGTCCGATTGGGTGGGTGTCTTCTGAGGTTGGTTCTCAATCTGGTGTTCAGGCCCCGCTGGGCCCTCAAGGGCAGGTCGATGCCCTGACCGACTACTGGGCCGGCGTTTGGGGGCCCCATAAAGACACTGATGAGCACCCTGACCCCATTGAGTACCTTGATCATCAGATCAAAGCCCAGGCTGAGGAGGAAGGGATGCAGGCGGAGGAGATGCGCACGAAGGTCAGGACGGTGGATCACATCAGAGGGGCGGTGCGTACATTCAGGAAACGCACGGCTCCTGGGATCGACGCCCTTCGCCCCCGAGATCTCGATAAGGCCACCGACGGGTTCCTGGAGGTTCTTGCGGTTCTTTAGCACAAGATGGAGGTTCTTGGTACGTACCCCATCGCTCCTCTTGGCCACGATCCTCGCGATGCTAGGTAAGCCTGATGGAGGTTTTCGACCCATTGCTCTGCTTCCCACTCCCTCGCGTGTGTTCTCCAAGCTTGCTAGGCGCGAAGTTAAGCAATGGGGGCGAGAGAACCGCCGCTCGCACCACTATGGCGTTGCTGGTCGCAGCTGCGAGCGTGCGGTGTGGGAGCAGAGCATAGCGGTCGAGCAGCGCCTCAGTGTAGGAGGCCGCGCGGCGTCGGTGCTCATCGATCTGACGAAGGCCCATGAGAAGGTCTGCCATTATTTATTAGCCAAGGCGGCGGTCCAGTACAGCTTCAGCCTCACTCTGCTGCGCCTGCTACTGTCTTTGCATCGTGGGAGGAGGAGAGTACAGGTGATGGGAGTGGTAGGACAGCCAGTGGTAGCATTGCAGGGTATTCTAGCGGGTTGCGGGTCCGCCACGTCGTTGCTTGCCTTGACGCTCACAGCCCCGCTGGACCGTGCATGCGAGCTGTATCCTAGCGTGCCGCTGTATTACGTGGTGGACGACATCACAGCGCAGTCAGCAGGTACTAGCAGGCATGTGGAGTTTGTGCTGCCACGCGCCGTGCTCCTGCTGTGCGCGCTTCTCGAGAAGCTGCACTTAGTGATCTCCCAGTCGAAGGGCCTGGCGATGAGCAGTCACTCGGCCACCAGAGTCTGAATTGCGCGCATGCTGAGACGATGGAACTTTGAAGGGGTGCATTCTGGGAGGAACCTAGGTGTGGATCAGACTATGCAGAAGGGCTCTCGAGGAGCCAAGACTTTATCTAAACGTCTTCGGAAGCTTCGGGTTCGGGCTGGCCGTATTCGAGTGCTTCGGAGTTCACGCAAGGGTATGTTTCGGGTTGCCCGATCTGGAGGTCTCGCGTCGGCTACGCATGGATGCAGGGTGCAGGGCATGGCGACCGCTAGACTTGCACAACTACGCAGCACGCTGGGACAAGCACTGTTTGGGACGCCCAAAGGCCGCTGCCGTACCCTTGAGTTATTGCTCTCTCTGTGGGCCCCAAGAGTGACCCCAATTACGACGCACGCTCTTTACCCATCTTGACGCGGGGCCAAGCGGCCGTCAGAATTGGAGCCCGCACAAGAGTATGTTGGCCAGCTTTCGAGAGTTTCACAGCCGCGCTGCTCGCGGTTGGCAGGATGTTCGTGGGCCTGCAGGAGCAGTGGTGCTCACGATCGAGCGGCTTGGCTGGGCGATCATAGACTGGCACCTTTCGCACGCGCGCTGGAGTCCATGTTGATATATTAGAGTTAGGCCATCGTTCCTTGAAGATGGTTTTGCATCAGAGTGTTCGGGATATGCTTCTCTCTGAGCTTGGGGACGGGGTTCGCACTCCTGGACTACATGGGAAGCCTATGTTGGAGCCGATTTTGGAGGTCCTGGCCAGGTTACGTAAGCAGGGCAGGCAGAATGCAGCGAACGGGTTAGCAGGAGTGGTGGCAGGAGGGCATCCGACTCAGCTCCGTCCCTTCGACGATCGGCGGGTGATCGACCCGCTTTGCCGGGCGCGCAGTGCAGCTTTGGGCGCCGCGCGACGCCGCTTCCAGTGTTGCGACTGTTCTGCCCCTCTACGGAGGGACCTTGATGTACATGATCTCCTGGCCCGAACCTGAAGGCGAGGAAACAGAGTTGCTCATTACCCGAGGACTCCTGAAGGCTCCAGTGGATTGGCCAGCGCCGTTCACAGTTGCTGGCCACAGGTGGGAAGTTGCACCGCCTGACGGTGTCCTCGGGCCTCGGGTTTGTATTGACGGGCCTGGGCTGGGCCCCGAGTTACCTCAGTTTTCCAGAGCTGGATGGGCCGTGGTGTCTGTGTTTCCTGATGGCTTCGGAGGTTGGGTCCATGGGTCCGCTTACGGACCACTCCCACATGCGGTGCAGGTTGCTGGGCGCGGGGAAGTCCATGCCTTCTACATGCGCCTCAAGCTTGCTGGACCAGAGCCCATGGAAGTGGTGACAGACTGTACTATGGTTATATATGTATGGAATGGTGGGCCCAAACAGGATCTAGAGAAAGTCGCCTTCTCGGAGATTTGGGTTGACATCTTCCGCCTCGGGGGCGACATAGGCCGCGAGAGAGTGACGCTTAGCAAAATAGAGTTTCACTTATCCCTCCATTAGTCCCGTGTGCGTAGATTTAAGGAATGGAAATGGAGAGGGAATAAGAAGGCGGATGAGCTGGCCAAGAAAGGAGCCAGAATCCAGCCTTCAAATCCGTCTACTAGGGAGTTATATGAATTGCAGCTGCCGAGAGTACGGCAAGCTGCCTGGTTGATTGCCGAAGTTATGGATGGGCTCAGTTCTCGGTCCTTTCCTGATGTGGCTCGGCTTCGTCGGCCTAGAAGGGCCAAGCCGTGTCTCCTGGAGCTGGCGCCTGATCCCAAGGGCCATGCCATCGAAAAGGTCGGCAAGTCAGCCTTTAGGTGTTTGCGCTGCGGCGGGAAAGGGAAGTCTCGTGCCGCCGTTTCAGTGTTTCCCTGCGGTGGCCCTCCAAGGGTTGCCAGGTACAGCCACAGGACAAATAGCGTGTGGTTGATGGGTGGTCGTGTTGCCTGGTGCTCGCGTTGCGGGGCCTTCGGCGAGAGCAGGTCGCGCAACCTAAGCTCTGTGTGTCCCAAGGGACCTGGCAATCGCCATACTGCAGGGATTTTAAAGCAGCTGAAAGCAGGCACCAAC